TAGAAAACCAGGTCTTCGAAGGCCTAGCAGCAAAAACCATTGTCATATTCGGAATCAGCATAGTCGATAACCTATTCTCCACTAGATTTCAACAAAAAAGCGAGCGGACACTTGGGGCAGTTCCCTCTTTAGACATTCTGATGCTCTTTTGACGAAGGTTTTACTATCAATATTATAGGGGGTTTCGATGGTATTTTGGTGGGCATTGATGATTGGGATGAAATGCAAGAATTTGAGAGTTTCTGGATGGATGATATATCAATGTTCTTTGGTGTGTATCACAGGAGTAAAACGTTTTCTCTGGTGTGTTGCATTTAAGCAGTTCTCTGTTTAGATGATGATGATGATGATGTGGTGTTTGTTGAAGAGTGTCGTGGTGAATGGTGTGAGTTTAAGGAAGGTAGTAATCTAATCTCTCTCTGAAGTATTCAAAATCGCGTTTTCTCTATTTATTTCTCTATTTAGATCGTGGTGATGATAATGATGTGATATTTATGGAAGAGCGTTGTGGTAGTGGAAGCATCTTGTATGAAGGTGGTAAGGTAGTTTCTTAAGTAAACCACCGCTAATTGAAAAGTTCCGCATTTTTATTTTTGGTTTTCTTATACATCAATTGAAAGAGAGTTTCGTGCTGATTGGGAATATCACCTTTTATGCTGTCGGTTTTCACGAGGAGAAATTCGAAATCAATATCGGGAAAACATTTTCTCCTTTGTATTTCGAAGCTTCGAAACGTTTTTTCCGGATTTAGCATTGAAAACTGAATTAGAAAATGTGTGTTGAAGTTTTCGGTATGTAATGTGATTGTAGAAAAATTCATTTACAAGCAGAGCTTGAAAGGAAAGGCGCCGGAAGAAGGTATCTAACTTTTTGTGTTAAGAGATGGAAGTCTAATTGTTGCTCCACTCTATCGGCCTTGAGTTAAAGTACCAAAATATGAATTGCTTTTTTGTAAAATTTGTTTCATACCTGAGAAAGTACAATTTTTCTGAATCAGGAGCGAATTAATCGGAATTCTGCCGGTAATTCTCTATTTTCTCCATTCAAACTCACTTTTTATGCGATAAAAATATTATTCGGAGTTAGCGTCGAAAACCAAAGGAAAAGGGTGATATTCCTGATCAGCGTGAAATTCTGTATCGAATGATGTATAAAACAGCCGAAAATAAAAATGTGCTGAACTTTGAATTCAGCGACGCTTTATTCAAACTCGGGTTTCCTGTATTATTTCTCTGTTTAGGTGGTGGTGGTGAGGATGGTCTAATCTTTATGGAGGAATGTGTTTCAATGAATGTATAAACGTATTTTATCGCTTTTTCGTTTTACTTTTAGTTTTTGTTGTTATATTTTTTTACCCTTGTTGCGCTATGTTTGTGTTCTGTTAAATAAAATCAATACTATGAATAGCTTAGTTGCTAAAGGACGGGGAACAGTTTGTGCTAGAAACTTTTCATTTTCGCCACCAGTTCAACAAAAGCCATTTACATTTTTCCCCAACTTTATCGTCCGATTTCAAAGTCCTTGAGCAAAGCTCATACATAGTAACATGGAGAATTTTCTAGGCTTCAAAATAAGCTAGAAACGAGGTTTTTAAAAATATGCCCACATGTGTCAATAGTCGAAATACTAGGCAGATATCATCGTTTTAACCTATTGATTGATTGATTGATTTTTATTTTGGTAACAACAAAACACAGAACATAAACATACAATAAAAACAGAAACCTTTAATTTTCATCAAAAACCGGTTACCGTGAAAGCAAAAAAATGCGATGCATCAATAAACCTTGCTACCCTTTTCATAGTTGGAGATGTTGCCTTGAACAAACTATCTTAGTGCTTTAAAGAAATATTTCTTGAACTCATCCACTCAGAACCGGAATATTTTATATATAGAAAGAGAGAGAATTTTCTGGGATTCAAAATAAACTCTAAATAAGTGTTTGAAAAATATGCTCATATAGCACAATTGTCGAAATACTTAGCCGACATCATCATTTTCGCCCTAGTGCTTTAAATACTCCTTTAGTCATTTTTCTGGCATAATGAAAAATTATATATTTTTTAAAAACATACCATTGGATAGCCCTTGAAATTCTCTACAAAGTGAGCTGGTCAGAATATCCAGGCAGGTGGAACCAGTCATTAAAGACATGCACAAGAAGCATTTGGGTGTTATCTATGTAGTACAGTGTATCATAATCACAAGAACTCCTTTGTTTTTTATGTTTCGGTAAAAGCTGGAACTAATCGGAATACTGTTTTGAATAGCCCGAAGATTTTTTTATCAAATGAGGTGCATATCGCCGTTTCATGAGAAAAGTTGATAATAGGGGAAATCGGACGATAAAGTTGGGGAAAAATGTAAATGGCTTTTGTTGAACTGGTGGCGAAAAATAAACAGTAATTTTTGTTTGAAAGACACCAGAAGGAATTTTTGAGAGCGGGAAGTGAAAATGGAAGCATTTGCGATCATTTTGATTCAAAATCATATCGGGCCATTTTCTAGCAGAAACCGGTCTCGGTTTTTTGCGATAGTTCGAACAGTTCCTAATGCTGACTTTTTTCGAAAAACGTGCAGTTTTTTGTTTCTTACTCAGCAGTATTCATCTCTTTCGAGCTGCTCTCTTTCCTGATCTTAATAACCGATGTATAGAAATTTTCCCGGATGCTCCAACACCAGTTATAAACTCGTGCATACCTAATTATAAAACCATTCCCAAAAATGTCTTCTATCAGTAGTGGCGGCGCCACAGGGGGGCTGGCGGGGGCTGAGCCCCCTCAGATTTAAACAACATGTCATTTTTTAGTTACATCAAACATTCAGTAGTAATTTAGTACAAATACAATAGTCGAAAAAACTTCCGAGATGCGAGGGAGATCATATAGAATGGCAGGAGCTGAGCCCCCTCAGATGGAAACTTCTGGCGCCGCCTCTATGCATCAGTATCAATATATTCATCTAGAAGGAAAATGTTGAATACATTTTAAATGTGTGTAACATGTACCGTTTGTTACTTGACTAACATCTTTTGATTCAGTTTGTCGACGATATTTCGTAAATCTTTTTTCAATGAACTTCTTCATATTTGTAATAGAAGTATCGTTAAATATATATTCACAATGTGTACCAAACCAACCGTCTGAACAATTGTAGAAAAATTGTTTAGTACTTTCCTCAAATGAATGATCAAGATAAATTTGATATTTTTCTATAGTATGAATGGTTGTTGACCATTGATTAAGTTGTTCACTAGTTATGTTTTGTTGACGTAAATCACTAAATGTCAGTTTTTCACCATTAGTTAATATAACAATATTACATACATACTAACTACATATCCTTTATTTTAATCATTGACTACATTTAGTTTATAATACTTTAACTATATATTAGTATTACCCAGGCAAACTTTTTATGCTACAAAAACGCGTCAATGTCAGTTAATTTTTAACGTGTTTCGCCGTATCAATTTTGGCGAATTGCTGCGTCGGAACGCGTTCGAAATTGATGCGTTTAAACGCGTTAAAAATTTTAATTTAAAACAAATTAATTTTTTAAATGCAGGATTGGTCTGACATCTTTTTAGAGGGTCTAATGCTCACTCAAAGAGTTTCCACTGCTTTCAAGACTATTTATAACAAGTGAAAAATGATAGACAACAAATCTTACCTACATGGTTTGAGTGTGATTCGAACGTGGATACCTAGAATTAAGAAGCAAGGAGGATAGGTCATGTTTTTTCTTCATGTAAGATAATACATGATAAACTGTGTTGTTCAAAATGCATGATAGAAAAATGTATTCTACAAGATTTCGGACGCTCTTACAGGGTTGGGCGAGTCCGAGAGGGTACCGAGTTCGAGTCCTAGTTCCGAGTTCATTTCGAGTCCGGTAATCTTTTAGATTGTTTTTTGATGATTGTGTTTATTTCTCTTATTTTTGTGCCATTTAATATATCAATCTTATTGAAACAGAAAAAGTTACTAAAGTAAACTTCTATCACCATTTTGTTATTATGCACTTAAAATAAGCTGCTGTAGTAATTAAAATTTGTAGAGAGAGAGTAATGTTTTTAATGCATTATAATCTATATCTCACATATTGATATTGAATGAAAAGGTGTAGGCCGTCCTTGAATCGCATCGAACTAAGAACAATAAAAATAAAGAAAAAATTTAGTGTTCATTTATGTTAAAAGTTGAATTGATCGGACTCGAGATACAAAAACTCAAGTTCAAGTCCCAGTCGTTCGAAAGAGTCGCCAGTCCAAGTCCTCAAAAAAATCTTCGAGTTCGGACTCGGACTCGCCCGCTCCTGCTCTCTTAGACTAGAAAAACAAAGGAAACTGAGCTCGTTTTTATTCCATATAGAGAACTGGTTTTCAGTTCTTCATGAGTTGCTCAACTTTCCGGAGAATTCGTGTGATTTCTTTTGAAAAATCGAAGAACTCAATAGGAGTTTTTATCTCTAACTCATATAAGCTGTTCACTATACTATCGGACTGTTAAACTACAAAAAGATCGTATGAAACTTGATGATTTTTCAAAAACGATTTCAGAAATCTTCTTTTTAAAAACATGTTCTTGATGATTTTATTTGATACTTTTGGATTGAATAGTAGTTCTTAAGGATAAAAAGTTTTAAAATAAAACAGCCTTGTTTCTCATCTATCTGTAATACATATTTTATTCACCAATTTTATCTTAACTCTTCAGAGAGTAGGAAAAATCCTGCTTACACCTCATTGGGAGCAGAATTTTTCTGAATGTGTAAGTACTCACAAGGGTTTAGAATTAATAGAAGAATAGATGGATGCTACGATAGTTAGAATAGATTCAACTTTCTTCGTTATGTAACGAAAATAAATAGATATTTTCAAAGTGAATCATTTTATTTAATACTTTTTATTTCTATAAAGTTATTGTGTTTTGATTTGTTTTGTTTAAATGGATGATGTAGATACACCAGTTGCTTTTACAGTATCATATATGAAAAACTCCGAACAAAGGATATTTGCAACCAATTTCCCATGTGGATTCGCGAAATATTTCAATAGTCTGACGTTTTTTTAAACAACTTCTCATTGTGATAGAAAAGAAATTGTTAGAAGAGACAAACATTTGTCTTCTACTGAATAGTTTTTTCCAATATTCATCAAAATTACACAATCATATCGTTAATCGTTTCAACTGTTCTCTCAATACGAAGTAACATTTCATAGTCATGCATATATTTCAGAAGAACAAGAAAGAATTAATTCATTGTATAAAGAAGATAATGTATGTATTATAAAACAACAAAAATTCTTTGTGTCCAACAACTAGAAGAAAATACATTTAAATATTTTAGTAGAAGAAAAAAAAAGCAGATATCATTCAAAAAGGTATAAAAACTTTCAATATAAACAGAGAAAAGAAGAAAATTCACTCTCTGTTCTATCGTTTAATAGTACAATGGAAGAGAGTCGACAAAATATTTACAATTATGATCCGATTAATTTAAAAGAAAATGGGAAAATAAAAAATATAAACATAAAATACAGTAATCCTCTTATATGTTTTTATAAATGCTTGAAAAATAAATATTTTTTCTTAAAGTAGACGTTTGTTAAATGAATGAGCAAAGTGTGCATATCAAACATTGAAAAAAGATCTTATGCTACTTTGTCCTATTAACGATTGATGTTTTTTGGTACTATTTACTTAAATTGTATATTGTCATATTCTCAATATAGTTTGACATTCAAATATCAAATATAGTAGTAATAAATAGTAGTCAACTATATTTCTTTTCTTTTTTTCAACAGAATATTATATAAGTTGAGCAAAATTAAGTGAAAAGATAAAAAATATGTGACAAAAATCAGAGATCAGCACGGGTCAGGTCAGAAAATTGTATAGAGTGATCTGGCCAGACCGGACTTGGGGTGCAAAGTATTTTGGTCGAGTCGGACCAGACCGAACTCAAAATTTTAAAGTATGCGTGGATTTGTAATTTATGTGTATACTCAGTACCGAGAAAGAGTATTATTACTGTTCTGCCACATCTTAATGACTTCGTTTAGCTGATGCCTTTAAAGATTGAAAAATGAAAACCAAGAAATCATAAAGAGATAAATATGAGCTTGAGAAGTACATTTACAACACTTAGCCAGCAAAAGCATTACAAATGCAAGAAAAAAAAGCACGCCTGGGACCAGAAAATTTTAAAAAGTGATCGGACCGGGCGAGGCTGGGCCAGAAAAGTTTCAGGATTGGTCAGGCCGGAGCAGATAAATTCCATGTTTGATCGGACAGAGTCGGATTTGGTCTGGAAACTTTCATCATCGGGCCGTCCAGGCCAAAAGTTTTCGGTCAGTGCGGATCTCGGACAAGAATATAATTTATCAGTAGATTGATAGTCATTAAAATAACCTGCTGGATGTTTCATGTGCTTCTCGCCTATCATCAAATAAATGATAATCCCAATCTTCAGTATTATCTAATGAATATGTAAAATGCCGACGTTTACGTTTGCGCTGTACATAAACAAATGTAAAACCAATTACCACGGATGCTATTATTAATAGTAAACCAAATACAATAGAAATTGTTATCAGTGTACCGCTAAATTTTCGAGTTAATTTTATTGATTTATTATTCTGAATTGTTAATGATAATTTCTCTAAAAGTATCTAGTCTGATATTAGAATTGAAAAACTAATATAAAAAATTGAACAACTTACGTTGACAATCATTTTTCTCATCTGAACCATCATTACATGACTGGATACCATCACAATATAAATCAGAATTGATACAATAATCTGATAAACAACGAAATTGTGAAACATTGGTGCATGGAGCTAAAACAGATGAATATGTAGAGTTTATATTGTGTATTTATGTTACAATCGAAACTGAAATTCTAAATTTATCTCAGCAAAATGTTTGCATAGGTTGATTCTAGCTTTGACTGGGTAAATTTCACGTTCGATCAGGCAAACTTAAAATTATCTAGTAATACAAGGATTTGTCGATAATTGTTGCAGATACTTCTCGAATTCAGACAGATTTCCAATCTGTCTAGACTAAAATCCTTGGTAAAAAAATGCAATCATTTAGCCATGTGAAGGATACCGATGATCGCCGTAGACGTGAGCGTGGACTATAAAAGCAGATTTCAATGTGAGTTTAAACTTTTCTCGGAAGATTTAAAAGCTTGAATGAGGAAAATTCAAGGGGGAAGCAGCTGATTTTGGGATTTTCCCGATTTTCACCAAATGAAAAGTCACCGAAAATGACTGGAAATTATTGAAAATCACAGAGAATCACTGAAAATCAATTCATTTTGGGTTAGTTAAATCAATTGTTTTTCCCTTGGGGAAATTTGTCTAGGCAGATGAAATCTGTCTAAATTCGAGAAGTGCTATTAATAATTTGAAAATATTTAGGACTAAAAGTTTTGATTACTACTAGCTGTGTGACGGCGTCAATCGTCTAAATATCAACTACATTATCTGGATCTGAAATCGATGATTCAGTCCTTACAAACGGTTTTTATTTTACCTGGTGATATTGTTGTAATAATTAATCGAAATTCTGATGGTATTTCATTTAATTTGCATAGATTGCTTGAAATATGTGATGTTATAATATCTGTTTTTGAATATTGTGTATTATTTTGGTTTGTGTAACTATTTATTGGAACTAGTTGTTTATTAATGTAATAAAGGTTGAGATACGTGAACGGCAATTGCGTAGAATGAATATTAATTACTAGGTTCGATGAAGAATTGATTCTAATTATACAACATTGTGAGAAAGTAACTAATTTATTTGGTTGAAAATGGATAATAGTCGTTGATGAAATATTGATTGTTTGATCGCACAATGAAGTATATTGGACTAAAATCAATACATAGAATTCTTGGCAAATTTACGTTACAAAACAAAAATGACAAATTATTGATATTGGCATTCAATTTTAATTTTTTTCCAGCACCTATAGATACTGTATCGCAAAACAAAACAACAGATTTCTGAGACCACTAAAGATATATTTTCTTCTTATTTTTGTTTTTACGATCAAAATTCGAACGTCTGTCTAAAGACCATGAGTAGTATTCTTGACTGGTTAAATAACAAATTCTACTATGCAAGATACACACTCTTTCAAAAGAATCCTCGTATCTCTGAACAAATGCTCAATAATCGTAAAAGTTACACAATACTCATACTTTTTTCTTTTCTACAATCTTCATAGTTAAAGTTTTTATTTACTTAATCAAAAATACTATTATTGGCTATGATAGGATTAACGTCAGTATTCAGCTGTATATAATTTCAATTTAAAGCTATATGATATACATAAAGCCGAATATTTCTTGAAACTCGACTTTATTTGAATTTATAATCGCTTTTTAGTTCGAGGAAAAGTTCAAGTCTCAAAAATCTTGTATTAGTCTCCATAATACTCTTAAAAAACATAATAGAAAACGAAAAAGAGTTTTTTCCATTCTCAGTTGAAACTTTTCTCTTCAAGCCCTTGACTTTCTTGAGTAAAAATCTCAAGGCATAGATATATTCCTTATTTATGCAAAACACTTTTTTTTTCTTCAGTTTTATGCGCATGAGTTCCTTTGTGAGGCAAGTACATAATGTGAGAATTATTATTACCCAAGCGTTTTGCATGACTAACAATCTCACGTGAATGGAAACAAATTTTAATGAAAAAAAAAATACTTCACTAGATTTGTGACCATTAAAATATGATGTATGAACTTTGAAAGTCTTGCTTAAACAGAATGTCATAAATCGAATTAATCAATAAATTATCATTATGCTTTCTTGATTAAATCATGTTGTTCAAAATCAAAACGGTGTTTTATTAAGAGATCAAAAAATGAAAAAGCTATAAATTATAGATGCAAATACTCTTTTCTGTTTTGTACTAGATGTTCGTTCTATAGTGTACGTCATACATAAGCCATGAGGCTGTATTTCTGTAACATTTTTCTAAACTAATTTAGGAGTACATATATCACCGCTTCTATATAATCTCTACGGTAGAATAAATCGATCTAATGTAGAAAAAAGTTGGATTAAAACTAGATCCGAAACATAGTCAACGAATTGAACAGTATGTTTAGAGGTTTTTCTGCAATAAATGATGTTTATATGTTGACGATATTATTTTGAAATGGTTAAGTGTTGGACACTTAATCAAAAATTTCTAAATTTCCCTTAATATTAGGCACTCATTCTTGCTGAATCTTCGAAATCAATCAGTCACTGTCCTTTAACCTTGAGAATGTCCTTGACCCAGATTCCTACTCTTATATAATTTTGTTTCTTAACTGGTCCCAAGCGATTCAAAATGGAAAATTGTAAATAATTATTAAGTATACGATTAAAAACGATCTAAAATTAATCTTTTTTAAGGTCAATATTTAACAAGTTGATCCTTTATAGTTCATTCACATTTAATGTCAGGTTGTTTATTTGTAATCTAATTAATCTAGTTTTATGATCATGAAGTAGTTGATTGAGCTTATTATCAATGCCAGTGTATAATTTTGTTATTTTTTGTCGTTGTATTTTTGATTATTCGGTTGTATGATGTTCAAATTGGCATTTATCACGCAATAGTTCTATACATTGGATTATCTATGAAAGTGTTGGAAATGTACTTTCAGACTGACTATTATAACCTTTCACATAAGTTTTGGTTCTCTATCAATCATTCCAAATAGTATAATTCATCTTTCAAATATCAATATGAAGTCAATTGCAATCCAATTCAACTTATGTTTGAACCAGATAATTATTGAATTTCACTGCTGTTGGATGGGATAGTGTATATCAATCCATTGTATTACTTAGGGCTATCCAAAAGTAGTGAGCGAGGTACTATTTTTTCTTATAGAAAGCTTGAAAAAATTTTCTTTTTTTATGAATAGATAGAGCGTCTTTCGCTCTATTTTTCTATGCTATTTGATCACTATTCAACTAAT